ACATTAAAAATACATTTACTTACAGTAAATATGCCCCTGGGTGCATTTTTTTTGGTCCTAGGACTGTTTTTTTAAGAAGTACATACCCAAAGTTGAGTAAAAAAACCTTTAAAAGTGAATTTTGCATAATAGGTCCCCTTTAATCATCTCTTATTTTTACTGTGTAATGTAAACATTTATTTATTTACAGTATCTTTATTTAACCAGGTAAGTCTGAGATTACAGATCTCTTTTACAAAGGAGGTCTGGGCCTGAAGGCAACCGATTATACTTGTTTTTGGTCTATGGGGGAAACCAGAGAACTTGGAGAAAACCTACAAACCATGAGGAGAACATGCAAACTCCACACAGAAAGACCCCAGGTCCAAACCGGGGATCGAACCCTAGACCTTCTTGCTGTGAGGCATCAGTGCTAACCACTGAGCTTTCTGTAATATTCWGCAACGCTTTATTGAACAAAGTTTGAACATTAATTTACTTGAGTAACTGCTTCACACTGACATTACAAGCCTAAATTGAAGAAATGCCTGWGAGATGTCTGGTTTTAACATTATAAATGATACAAGAGCAGAAGCTGGGATCTCATGTCTGACAAGCATTTTGACATTTCAAACAGGTGGTGTTGCCTTATTATAATAATCCTTCTGACCTTTGTTTCATTGGATGTTGTGTTGTTTTTATTTTACTTCACATTTATTTCGGTCACTGTTCTGTCAATCAGGTTCTCCTTAATCAAACCTGACACCTAAATGCAGCATCGGAAAAGAATCAACAGAAATCCTGAAAAGGAACTTTAGTCTTTGAGCTTGTAGGATGATTTTTTTTCACTACTAAAATCAATTTTTTGAAGGTTGTATTAATCCACCTCTGCAACATACAACACCACTGACTTTTGGCCCAAAGGTTCATATGGTCAAGGTGGCACACAAGCAAAAAGACAAAGTCACGGTGAAACAAGGACAAGATGTTCTTCTAAATTTAATTTACCTTTCTGGGTTTTCTTTCCCATCATGCGTGACCAAATCTTGAATCCCTCAACAAATTACCTGTCTCCTGACAACTCCTGTACCAACCTCCCTGCAGTCTGCACTCCCAAGCCCACCTTTTATTAATCTGTTTTTTTTTTATTATTACCAGTGGAAATTGAAAGGCTAGCTTGCTTGTAACTGCTGCCCATTGCTCTATTTTCCTCATGCTTTTTATAATAAGGTCAGGGATGGTGAACTGGGAGACGATGAGGGATGGAAAGACAGTGGAACTGTTGCAAAGTTTAAGATAAAAAAGGAGGGGATCTTAAGAGGTTGGTATTTAAAATGAAATATAAATCTTTATGTATTGAGATAAACATTTTAAAAATCTGAAATATGAAGAAAAGGATCTATATTTTTCAACTTAGAAATTAATTTAAAGTTGATATCAAAATGAAACAAAAACAGTCATTTTGTTTTAGTTAAATCRATAGAACCCAGAGCTTTACTTTTATAAGCCATTTATTAAAGTAAATCTTTACAAAAAAGGAAATTCTGTTAATTTTATTGTTGTTTCAAGGGTCATATGTGACCCATCATATTGAAACAATGATTAAGTCTAAAGTTGGGATGTGGAGAAATAGGCAGATACAGTGTCAACAAATATTGCATTTTGTCAAAATATAAGGAATAACTGCCTTATTAATGAATCATTTGAATGAACTGTCTGTGTCTAAAATATAATAAAAAAATGAATCACTTTTTTGAGCAGTAGCAACAAAAAAAAAAAACAGATTTTGAGGAAAAATGCTTTAAAATTTTGAGATCTCCCCTGCGAGCTAGAAACATTTTTATTTCTTTCCAGCTGGGAAATCTCAATGTTCACATACTATTTGAGGTTTCCTCTTTATGATGACTTCAAAATATTTCTCATTAAAATGACCTAAAATTAGGATTCAGACCAAATATTAATGTGTCATCGTAACCAACGAGACAAACTAAGTCATATCTCTGGATCTGCTTAAATCAGAATGATCCAGGTAGCAAAATGTAGCTTTTAAAGCCAGGAAAATGAAAATGAGATTAGGTCATTTTGACCAAATTTGACTTAATTCTCATTTCAATATGGTGGGTGACATATGCAGACTTAAATAAACCACTTGGATATCATTTTAGCTGTAGGTTTGATGATTATTTCATGGGGCAGTAGTGGAATTTCTTCCCTTACTTTGCACCCTTACCCTCAAACGTCTACAACACACACACACAAATGTATCGTTAACACCTGAAGCTTTAATGATGCAATTTATGGCATTTTATGCCCAGTTAAGTATCTGAAAACACAGTGATTTAGAAGCTACTACTACTATTATGGAGGAGTTTAAGTATCTGGGGATCTTGTTCACGAATGGGGGAAGAAGGGAGCGGGAGATYGACAGGCGGATTGGCGCAGCGTCTGCTGTAAGGCGGGCGCTGTACCAGTCTGTCGTGGTGAAGAGAGAGCTGAGTCAGAAAGCGAAGCTCTCGATTTACCCGTCGATCTACGTTCCTACCCTCATCTATGGTCATGAGCTTTGAGTCATGACCGAAAGAACGAGGTCCCGGATACAAGCGGCCGAAATGGGTTTCCTCCGCAGGGTGGCTGGACTCTCCCTTAGAGATAGGGTGAGAAGCTCGGTCATCCGGGAGGGACTCAGAGTAGAGCCGCTGCTCCTCCACGTCGAGAGGAGCCAGTTGAGGTGGCTCGGGCATCTGGTAAGGACGCCTCCTGGACCCCTCCCTGGTGAGGTGTTCCGGGCACGTCCCACCGGCAGGAGGCCCAGAGGAAGACCCAGGACACGCTGGAGGGACTATGTCTCTCGGCTGGCCTGGGAACGCCTTGGAGTTCCCTCGGAGGAGCTGGAAGAAGTGGCTGGGGAGAGGGAGGTCTGGGCCTCCCTTCTGAAGCTGCTGCCCCCGCGACCCGACCCCGGATAGGCGGAAGAAAATGGATGGATGGATGGATGGATGGATGGATGGATACTACTATTATCAGCAGCAGAATACATACTTAAAAAAGGTTTTAATTTGAGTTTCAGAGGTGAGTTTTAGCATTTCTTGTCTCATATAGTGTTGGAGGTTCCCACCACTCTGCCCCGAAAACAATCAGCTTTTAAAAAGAGTCTGCAGTATTGTTCAGTCCAGTTTCTCTTACTTTTGTGGCCAGCAGCCTGGTCAGGTAGATCTCAGAGACCATCTTGCTCCCTCGGTCCCCCTCTCTCTGGTCTGAGTGGTCGTGGTTTTTTACCAGATGCCACAGTTTGGTTCCACTCTCCAGGTCAGGTGTGATCATAGGTGTTCGTGACCGTAGGCTATCCGGACTGCTGGCTGTCCTCAGCATACTCTCTAATTATAGACACAGAAGATGGAATGACTTTAAATAATTTCATTACCTCTCTCTTGAAATCATGTTATTCTGCAAGAAAAAAAGAAAAGTTCTGAGTGCCTGTTTTCACCGACTCTCAACTGCCAGAAACACMGAATTTCTTAAATAATTCTCACCCCCTCGTTTGCTCTATCATCTATGTCTCTTTTATTATTTATGGTGAAAGTGTCAATGCTGATTAGAGCGAAGCAGGGCAATGTCTGCAACGGCTTCTTTTAGGTTAGCAGGAGGAGAGGGAACTGGGGAGGTGAGGTGCACAGAGGAACATGATTATCTGCTCAGAAGTTGTTGCTTCTGGGGTAGAAAGGATTGAACAGAAGTGGTAGAGAAACAAAAAAGGAGAGAGAGATTCTTATGCATGTTGCAATCCTTCTGTGTTTTGTGATAGAAGTGTGCATGATGGAAAAATGAGAAAGTGCGAAAGGAAAGACAAGAAAAGGGGGCTGTGAGCTAAATGGACACAGAAACAAAAATGTCAGGAGAAAAAGGGTGCAATAGAGAGTAATGCAAGAATATGAGATAGAGGAGTAAAAAAAAGACAGAGTGGCCTGGTTGTATTGTGGTATCTTTCTCAAGTGATGTTCTGAGCAGCTTTGAGTCCAAACTTATCGGGAATTTTGGCAGTCAACATTTCTGCCAATGTAAATGTAAAAAATCAGCATCCATACACAACCAGAAGCTTATGTAGTACAAAATGAAAAGAATTTTTTTTTATAAATTTATTAAATTTGCTGTAAAATGAGGACTATGTCCAAATAAATATTACACTTTTCCAAAGCAATATTTTGTCATTTCTAATAATCTGCTCATAAACACGGCACTATTTCAAGAAAAGTTTTCATCCATATGAAAACACTGAAAACACACGATGTAAAAGCTATGCCAGGCCTACATGTGGCACTCCAACACTGCCACAAAAGTACAGCAAAAACAGCAAACAAGCTGGCGCAGAACACTTGAACTGTAAACACAAGAATTATAAAACAAACAAAAAAAAAAAACAAAAAAAAACAAAAAACAAAAAAAACAGAGAGCAAAAACCGAACCATTTTTGTTGACTGACAAAGTGGAAAGTCTACTTTAAGTCACAATAAATGTCTGGACCACAAAAGTGCAAGTTGAAGTTCACCGAGAGTTATGTTGCTTTAAAGTGCATGTGACATCCAGTTTTTGTAATGAATATGAATGTACTTTTGGAAAGATAACGCTGATAAAATATTGCTAAATAAATTTCACACTGCTGGGATGAACAGTTGTTGAGATATTTGCATGTTTYGTAACAGGAAGTGATGTCGAAGGGGAATGTGAACAGAGCATTGCTATAATGTCTAACAACAAAGACTGTAGAGAAGAATCTGATGTTTCTTTAGCTTATTTTAAGTCACTATTAGAGATATGAAGAAGAGTCAGAGTTCAAATAATATTGTTCCGATAAACAGAGTTTTCTTTCTTAAAGAGCTCCCATTTGATGTCACTTCCTGTTTCACTTTGACTGAGTCAAGTTCAAAGGAAAAAAATGCCACTTATGTGACAAAATGATTTAAATAATGAGTATTATGCCACGTTTCTTAAATAAAAAGACGTTTTCTTTGACTTTTTGTATCTGAAGGATGTACAGGTCTCAGGCACTTTAAGGATATCACAGCTTTCTTCAGTGTTGTTTTGTGGTGTTTTAGTATTGTTTTGTTTGAGCAGAATGTCAGGCTTTTTGAAAAAAAAAAGAAAACACCATCTAACTTCATAAACTTTATTCTCCTAAAACTAAATGCCGCTCACCACTACAGCTCCTTCAGTGCAGGTGTTCTGCGATGCACTCCTTTCAGGCATCTTTATTCCTGCTAATAAAATCTACATAACCTGAAAAATCTCTTAGTCGTGAGGCAGATTCTCTCCACCGCTCCTGGTGAGCAGCAGATCAGTAGTGGTGATAGCATYGGTGGATGTGTGAGGGTTAATACCCACTCAGTAAGAGTGCAGCGTTTCTTTGTTTTTCTTTACGCAAGGTAATTTACTCTGTAAATAATTTGATTCTCCACTGAAGTGTACGCATATTGGARCTCTATCTTTGTGACTTCTAGGTGTCCTTTCTCTTTTTCACTCTGTCAGCCAGAGATCGAGGTGTCTGCTTTAATGCCCGTCATTTATGGACTGCTTTGGAAATAGCCGTGGAATAGCCTTGGCCTGAGTTGATGACATTGGATATAAGGGATTGCTGTTCACTGAGTGGGGGGCAAAAATGCAGCCCAATCACGGCCCTGACAAACAAAACGTGAATGAATGAGAGTTCAAAGGTGTAGACGGAATGTAGGCAGATAAAGAAATGGGAATCATTGGCAGAATGGTTTAAATAGGATCGAGTCAAGTTGAGAATTGGAGTCGTACCGTATCTGCTGAGGCTCTTTGTGAACGTGGAGGAGTTGGAGATGTTATATGCAGAGTTCTGCTTTGGCACAAGGGCAATCACTGAGCCATCTGTTACCTGGACAACAAAAACACGCACTCAGTCTGWGAATCCTTTTTTTTATACTAGTTCTTATATGCAAGTGTGTACCGAAGCTCGTGAAGCTTGTTTTGTGTTTGTGTACCTGATAGTGAGCCAGCGTGTTGAGTCTTTTCCAGTCGTTGTCGATCTTAGTTGTGACGTCTTCGTCCTGCAGAATGATTCTGGCCATTCGACCCTGACGCCATTCTTTAAACAGAGGGAAAAGCAACTGAGATTGAAGAGTAAAAGACAAAAAAAAAATCTACGTTGCTTTTAATCAGTGAGCTTTTAATCTTTTTTTCCTTTGGTGGGGGGGGTATTGTTCTAAATGACAACCTTTAGCAGCTTTTTGGATGATTGCTGCACAGACTAAAAGAGCACATATTCAGATGAATTTTTAATGTTTATTGTTTTTTTTCTTTTTTCCCCATTTTTTTTAATTTTATTTTATTTTCTCATAGGCACATTGTAATTTGTKGGTGAATTGAGCTGCTGCCTGTCTTGGTCAGGACACTCCTATAAAAAAATATTCTGAATCACGTGTGCCTAGTTCCTTGATTTTGGGAGTTCGTCCGATACTTGGATAAGATCGGTGAAAGGGATCAGCTTCTCATCTACCTCCACCAGTTCTGAAAACCAGTCACTGTCCTCTTTTGCTCTGCTGTGAGCATTACTTAATGTCCAGGTAAAACAAGTTTGTATTGATTCAAGTGTATTGTTGAATGTTTTTTAATAAAATAAGATGATAACACTGAAGGTTCATTGTGACCTTATAACACCTGACAGTTTCAAGGTGTATTCACACCAGGAAACTCCTTTGGTCTGGACCAAATAGCGGACTTTATTTTTTCCTTTGGTGCGGTTTGCATTCAAATTGTGCTTTTTGGAAATTGACTATAATTTACAGTGGGGTGTGAAAATTTGGGCACCCTTGTTAATTTTCCTGATTTAGCTTTATAAATCATTGATTGTTTGGATTAAAAATATCAGTTAAATATATCTTATAGGGAACAAACACGGCAATATTTGAGAAGTGAAATGATGTTTATATGATTTAAAGAAAGTGTGCAATAATAAGCGGAGGCCTCCACCTYTGTTTAATGATGGATGTCCATCATTAAACAGAGGTGGAGGTCTCCGCTTTCAGTTGCCCCCCTCCTACAGTGCGGCTATTGCCAGTATCACTCCACCCACTGTTAACAATAGGTGTTAATTAGGTGTCAACAATAGCCATGTGATGTGAGTATCAGTCACATGGAGGCAGTGTTTAAAAGCCTGAATTTTGCCTGAAACTCTCAGACTGAAGAAGTCTCTTGGAGGAGAGACGAAACGTTTCATTAGAGAWGAACCCGTCCAGAAGACCTATACAATTTTTTTCTTTTTGATATACTATATATATTTACTAGTATCSACTAGAAAACTGCTTTCGGTGCACCCCTACAAGAATCACATTTTCTGGTGAAACGAAATTCTAAGCAAAATCAAGCAAAATGCAGCTGCTGAACCACAATACAATACCTTCATATGTCGATGGCAATACTCTGTAAAGTTTATTAAAGTCCTCCTAGTTGCTAAAGGATTTGCCATAAAAAGTGTACAGAGTTTAAAGGTGCTACTGAATAAGTGAAAGAAGCTAAACAGGCTGTCGGCCACAGCGCACTGAGCTTTTATGGTTGTTAATAATGCAGCTGTAATATTGATGCACAGAGAGAACAGCAAATTTTTACCMAGGTCCATATCTGAAGCCTTTGGTCGTTGTGAATACGGGCTTCCTTTATACACAGCATCAAGCAGCTTCTCTTTGACCTGAGTGATGGTGTCGCAGTTCAGACATTTGACCGTCACCTCAGAGGCATTTTCATTCTCAGGGTTTACACAGTGCAACGTCTGGGAGGAAAACAAAAACGGAAGGCAGACAAAAAGGAATTAGGCATAAGCAATATGACAACGTGAAAGCAGCAAAGTAGTGAGATGTTGGAATCATTGTTTAGATGCATTCGAATGTACCCGAGAGCATTTTAACACCTATGCAGCAGCTATTGTAAACCCTGGTTACTTTGCGAGTGTGTTTAGGTACATAATAACCCAGCATTCACACTTGGGTGCCGATCAAAACAACTAAAGTAGATTCTTCTGAGTGCCAGTATGTTTTCAATCCAAACCTCAAGTGCTTTGTTTGGAAATACAACATAGTTAACACTGGGCAGCAGATGAGTCAGTTCTGAGCCAGGTCACATCCCCACTCCAAACAAAACTAATGCTGAAGTGCTATGTTTACCCACAAGTCTCTGCTGCCCAGCCATATCCCGGCTAATCAAAGAAACGGTCTTCCAGTCTTAAACAGCTGATTAGACTTTAGAATCTTCTTCAACGTCAAATCTGACTGAAGCTTAAAAAAAACGAATCAAGTGATTGAGAGCAAAGCGGACCAAACGAGCCAGGAGACGCAGGATGTTGACTGACCAGTGTTTTGTAGTCAATCTGTTGCCTGATGAGCTTGTCCTCGCTGAGAGAGTAGCGAGCTTCTCCTGTGATGGCGTCAATGGGTCCTTTCTCCATCTGCTGCTTGATGGCACAGTACAGCATAAACAGAGGCTCTCCAGCACACTCCTGGTGAGGGAGAAGGCAGACAAATATCAGAGTTATCAGCAGTTCAAGCAGAGTGAGGTTTGCCTTTTGGATTGTTGAAATTGAAACAAACTGGGGAAAAAATGTTTACGTGATCTTAGATTATTTTTAAACCCAGGTTTTATTATTTTTGTCTTACACTTTTTTGTATTTTTTAGGCTTACCCTGCATGATGCTGTCATAGTCGAGCATAAAAACTAGACAGGGTAAAAAAGTCCATTGAAAAACTTTTAACCATTGACCTAAATCACTTTAAAGAAGTGTGGTAGCTTGTACCATAGACAAAAAGTAGGGAAGATTTAAAAGACCAGAAAAGGTTGGAAGGCCCCCTCCGGGTCGGGGGAGAGTCTCCACCTCAAGTGGAGCAGTTTAAGTATCTGGGTGTTTTGTTCTTGAGTGATGGTAGGATGGAGCGGGAGATAGATCAACGGATCGGGGCCTCATCCTCAGTAATAAGGGTGTTACTTCGGTCAGTCGGGGTGAAGAAAGAGCTGAGTCGAAAGGYAAAGCTCTTGATTTACTGGTCTGTCTACGTTCCAACCCTCACCTGTGGTCATGAGGCGTGGATGATGACTGAAAGAACGAGATCCCAGATACAAGCGGCCRAAATGAGCTTCCTTCATAGGGTGGCCGGGCTCAGCCTTAGAGATAGGGTGAGGAGCTCCGTCATCCCGGAGGAGCTCCTCCGCATCGAAAGGAGTCAGTTGAGGTGGTTCATCTGATCAGGATGCCTCCTGGATGCCTCTCTTTGGGGGTGTTTCGGGCACGTCCCACTGGTAGGAGGCCCTGGGGAAAACCCAGGACTCGCTGGAGAGATTATGTATCCTCTCTGGCCTGGGAACGCCTCGGGGTTTTCCAGGACGGGGTGGAAAGTGTCGCTGGTGAGAGGGATGTCTGGGTTTCTCTCCTGGACTTGTTGCCTCCGTGACCCAAGTACGGATAAGCGGAATGGAGATACTTATAATTTAGGATAACATGATTTGCATGAAGKGTCATTAAATGGTATAACTGACTGCTTGGATGTTTGTTGTGTATGTTGAGCATTGTGTSTACAGCAGCACATGTACAGTTGGACAGATAACATGAAAGAACAAATTACAACCAGATTGTCTTTCTGCTCTGCCTCCTGACGAYCAGAAAGAACAATTATCCCAACTTTTTATACTTCCCTTCTACTCGCTGACCCCAACTTATTTTGAAGGCGATTCGTCAAATGAAAAGACCATTACATCACACTTCAAAAAAATTTTTTAGAGTTGTTCTATAAATCTGTTCAGACCTCACAGTTGAGCAGCCACAGATGTTAGACAGTAAGTATGTTTCCTCCTCCCTCCCCTTCAAAGACACATGCCAATCAATGGTGTCATTAATCATCACTTGGTCCCAAGGAAAAGACTCCCAGCTGAAGTAGTTGCAGTTTAGAAGGGAGAAAGAAGACACACGACGACCAGTACTCATCCTGACAAGTGTTTAATGACTGACCGTGCAGCGCTCGGGGAGATCCTTCAGACTGTGTGTTGGAGATTCATGAGGTTCAGACGAGAACAAAAGTATTATTTTATCTGCCGCACCTTCAAGCACACTCAATAACGTGTTTCTTTTATGAAACATATTCATTTCTTTTTTAAAACTAATTTCTCTTTTTAATACCAACATTAATAACAATATTATCACTAATACTGCCATTACATCATTTGTTCTTCCTTGTGCCTGTCGCATTCACATTGGGTTGGAAAATTAATTTGATCTTGTACGTCAATCATTAGAGTATGAGATTTGCATTTGATTTCCTGTGCAATAAAGAACCATGTATATA